TTTTTTTTTTTTTTGCTATTCGGATAGGCATGTAGTGTTATCTCATTGTGGTTTGGATTTGCATTTCCCTAATGGCTAATGATGTTTTATAGCTTTTCATGTGTTTATTTGCCATCTATATTCTCTTCAGTGAAATGTCTTAGCCTATATTTTAATTGGATTGCTTTTTAACTTCAAGTTTTGAGAGTTTATATATTCTAGATTCTAGTCTTTTGTCAGATACGTGGTTTGCAACCGTTTCTCTAAGTCTGTATATTGTCTTTCTATCCTCTTCCCCTGGGCTTCCACAGAGTAAAAGTTTATAGTTTGATGAGGACCAATTTTTCCGTTTATAGATTGTAGTTTTGGTGTCAAGGATAGAACTCTGACTAGCTCTAGATCCCTGAAATTTTCTCCTATGTTTATTCCTAAAAGTTTTATAATTTTACATTTAAATCCATGATCCATTTGGAGTTAATTATTGTATAAGGTGTGAAGGTGTTTTACCTATAGAGGTCCAGTTGCTTCAGCCCTTTTTGTCAAAAAGGCTATCCTTCCTCCATTGAATTGCTTTGGCACTTTTGTCAAAAATCAGTTGGGCGTATTTGTGTGCATCTATTCTGTTCCATTAAGCTATATGTCTATCCGTCTTCCAATATTGCACTGTCTTGATTATTGTAGGTATATAATATAGTAAGCCATTTTAATATCTATCAGATAGAGTGATTCTTCCTACTTTATTTTTTTTTGTCAAGATAAAATTTTATTTTAGCTATTCTAGGGCCTGTGCTTTTCCATGTAAATTTTACAGTAAGCTTATCTATGTCTACAAGAAACTTTGTTGGGATTTTGCTAGAAATTGCACTGAACCTGTAAATTAGTTTGAGGAGGATTGGTATCTTTACTATGTTGATTTTTCCAGTCAATGAACACAGTATGTCTCTCTATGTAATTAGGTCTTTGATTTCTCTCATCTAATTTGTGTAGTTTTCAGTGTACAGATCCTCCAAATGTTTTGTTAAGCATATGCCAAAGCATTTTGTTTTCATTGGAGCAATTGTAAATGGTATTATTTTTAATTTTGATTTCTGCATGTTCATTGTTTTTATATAGGACTGCCACTGACTTTGTGTTTTGATCTTGTGTCCTGTGACCTCACTGAACTCACTTATTATTAGTTCTAAGAGGTTTTTTATAGATTCTTTGAGATTTTTATATGTAGACAATCAATGTCATCTGTAATACCTTTTATTTCTTTTTCTTACCTTATTGCAATATCTCCAACTTCCAGTACTATGTTGATTAAGAGTGGTAAGAGCAGACATCCTTGCCTTGTTTCCTATTTTATCATGAAAACATTGTCTTTCACCATTACCTATGATGTTAGTACAGATTTTTTTGTTGATACTCTTTATCAAGTCAATATAATTCCTAACTTTCTGAGTGTTTTATCATAAATGGATGGTAATTTGTCAAATACTTTTCTGTGTCAGTTAATAGGAGTATGATCTTTGAAAGCTTGTTGATATGGTGGGTTATGTTGATTGATTTCAAATGTTGAACCAGCTTTGCATACCTGCGATAAATTCTACTTGGTCATGGTATATAATTCTTATATATTGTTACATTCAGTTTATCAGTATTTTGTTGATGATTTTTGCATTTAAGTTCATAGGAGATATTAATCTGTAGTTTTCTTTTTTAGTATTGTATTTATATGATTTTGCTATTTGGGTAATACTGGCCTTATAAAATGAATTGGATAGTATTTCCTTCTCTTTTCTGGAAGAGACTGTGTAAAATTTGTGTTAATTCTTTAAATATTTGCTGGAATCCTCCAGTAACACCATATGCACCTGGAGATTTCTTTTTTCTGAAGCTTTTTATTTATGAATTCAATTTCTTTAATGGTAATAGTGCTATTCAGATTATCTATTTCATATTGGTTCAATTCTGGTAGTTTGTGGTTTTTGAGGAATTGGTCTATTTTTTCCAAACTTTTTAAATTCATGAACATAAAGTTGTTTATAGTATTCCCTTATTATCTTTTTAATTGCTGCAGAATGTGTAGTGATATACCCAATTTCCTTCCTGATAATGGTGTCTTCTCTTCTTTTATTTTTGTAGTCATGATAGTTTATCAATTTTATTAATTTTTTTGAAGAACAAGCTTTTTGTTTGGCTGTGATTTCTGTTCTCGTCTTTATTAATTCCTTTCTTCAACTTTCTTTGGGTTTATTTTGCCTTTTGTCTAGTTTCCAAAGTAGAACCTTAGATTATTGATTTGAGACTTTTCCTCTTTTCTGTTGTAAGCATTTAGGGCCATACATTCTCCACTGAGCACTTCTTTAGCTGCATTTCACATATTTTGATATATTGTCATTTCATTTTCATTCAATTATGCATTTTTAAATTTCCTTTGAGACTTTCTCTTTGAACCATGGATTATTTAGAAGTGTATTGTTTCATTTCCACATATTTGTAGATTTTCCTGTTGTCTTTCTGTTTTTGATTTCTAGTCTGATTCCATTTTTCTCAGATTGCCTTTTCTCATTCAACTTGTGATTCTTTTGGTTCTCAGTGTGATGGGTGATTTTTTATTGTAATGATCGTTTTGTTTATTATGTTAGAAGAGTCTGGGTCCTATTTAAATATTTTAGTTTAATGGGCAGTCACCCTGTTTTAGTTTAGTACGTAGGGTCTTTCCTACTTTTGTGGGGTATGCTTCCAGTGACAGTTTAATTTTCAGAGGCTTTGTATTGTTATTGGGTTTCCTTGGTTTATATGGTACTGTGAGGGCTGCCATGTGTTGCTGCTGGTGCTGCCTGAGGGTGCGGAAGGTATTTACCTAGGCCAGAGTGTCTCTCAGTGGGAAAGGGGAGTCTTAGACCCATAAGGATGAAGAAGCTTCCTGAGCCAGGCTACTGATGGCTAGGTCCCTCTTGCTAGTTCTGCCTGCTCACTTTGGTATCTCTTTACTGGGGTTCTGATGTTGTCAGAAGGTTTCCCATTCAGACTGGGGCAGGGATAAGCCTATCCAGGCAGCCTTCTGTTGCTAGGATGAGGATTGGAAAACACTAGATCTGAGTTGCCTTCTTTTGTTGGGTGTAGGAATGTAAGACACTCTGCTGTGTTATTCCGCTAGTCCTGAGGTCTCAACATTTTGCCTTCGTTTTGCTACTTTTTAGAATTCTCTATTGGTTGTGTCTTGCATTCTTTAATGGGTTTGTTGTTGTGCCTAGCAGGGAGTATCATGGAGAAATGGATCTATGCCACTTTGTTCTGATTGGACCAGAAATCACTTGTTCTTATATTTTTTAAAAGCAGTCATCATTGATTTTTCTCTCTATTCCTATAGTTTTCTTGTTCTGGAACACAGATGGCTGATTCTTCTGTTTATTCCAACAGGGTTAAAGATCAAAAATGACACTGGAAATGACCAACCTATATCTCTTTCTACATTAGAAACACAAGCAGCAGGATGCAAAGTATTAAGAAAGTCCAGAATGAAAGTTGCCCAGAAAACAACGGGCAAAGAAAATCACGGTGGTACACACAGGGTACGGAAACGGCATCGAGCTTTTCTAGGAAAGAAAAGAAAGAAACTTTCAACTTGTAAACAAGAGCTTCCAAAACGTATGGATCTTCATGGGAAAGGCCATGCAGGAGAGAAACCTTTTAAATGTCAGGAATGTGGGAAAAGCTTCAGAGTTAGCTCTGACCTTATTAAGCACCAGAGAATTCACACTGAAGAGAAACCCTATAAATGTCAACAGTGTGATAAGAGGTTTAGATGGAGTTCAGATCTTAATAAGCACTTAATGGCACACCAAGGAATAAAACCATATAGATGCTCATGGTGTGGGAAAAGCTTCAGTCATAACACAAATCTACACACACACCTAAGAATTCACACAGGAGAGAAGCCCTTTAAATGTTATGAATGTGGAAAAAGATTCATTCAGAACTCCCACCTTATTAAACACCAGAGAACCCACACAGGTGAGCAGCCTTATACTTGTAGCATATGCAGGAGAAACTTTAGCAGGCGGTCAAGCCTTCTTAGACACCAGAAACTCCATAGGAGAAGGGAATCATGTCCAGTGTCTCCAGTCTGATGAAAGAATACAAAATTATGAGACATCCAATGATAGGAATCTGTCATCAACAGAAAATTTGGGAGGGGTACATGTCATGTTTCACAGAAAGGAATGTAAGCTGTCTCTCTTATTCGGCATTGTATCTTTAGTGCCTAGCACAAGACTGATACATAATGAGTACTTTATAAATAAAAGAATGAAAATATAGCTATCATATGTATAGTTATCTGTCCAACTATCTATCTATATCTGTCTGGTTACTCAGCTTCCCTACCCTCTGTGATCTAAATTCTTCAGGTATCAGGTGCTCAGCAAATATATGATGGCCATGAGTCCTACTCTGATTGTTTTTCAGGAGAGATGGAAAAATAAAGAGTATTTGGGTCTTCTGAAGGGAGCTCAGAGAGAATTACTAAGATGGAAAGAGTTTCTATGGCTATTCTGTCTGCATGAACAACCAAGCCCAGGGCTCAGGGAATGGGAACGGGAAGAGAGGATTCTGTGTTTGCCTTGGGAGTAGTGACCCCATTCTAGTTGCTTCTCCCCTGAGCACCCATTACCACAATGTTTTCTGGCAAAGAATTCCAAGCAGCAAGCAAAGGCGTGAATGCCGACACAGACCTAGGGACCTTGCAAGCACTTGATACCTCTCCTGCAGATCCTCTCAACACTGGGGTATATAGAACAAAATGATGAAGGAGGCAGTCTGAGCTCTCATCCAGTTATCTGTCTCTTTGTAGAAAGCACAGGGCAGTGGTGAATGGCCTTTTTTTTTGACTTTCACTGTATAGAGTGGGGGCTTTCATATTGGTGCCACACTGCTCCAGGGCCTAAGGGGAGGCCCATTTTTTTGTGTGTGATAAATAATAATTTTTTTATTGTTGTCATAATAGTTTATAACATTGTGAGATTCCAGTTGTACATTATTATTTGTCAATCACCACATAAATGTGCCCCTTCACCCCTCGTGCCCACCCCTCAACTCACTTCCCCCTGGTAACCACCAACTGTTCTCTCTGTCCATGTGTTAGTTTATATCCCACATATGAGAGAGGTCATACAGTGTTTGTCTTGCTCTGTCTGGCTTATTTCACTTAACATAATACCGGGAGGCCCGTTTTTATGGCTGCTCAGCCACAACCCTATACACCTGGATGCTCTGCAGGAAGGCCTGGAGATTTTGCAAATTGATTTACTGAGAGTGGCAAGGAGAGCACTGTGGTCTTGTAGCCTCAGTGCACATTGGTTACCAGGAGGGAACATCTAGAAGTATCAGAGCAAAGTAAGGCCTATGGCTTAGAGTGATGACCCCAGCGAGAGCAAGGTCAGACAGAAATTATTTTTTGATGTTGGTGGTTTCTCTTCCTTCCCCATTGGGCTCAGCGATTATGTCCTGAGAAGACAATGTGATGTCAAGAGAAGGGCAAGGAAGTTGGAAGACATGGCTTTATACCTATGTCAGATCCTAGTTTAAGGTGTTGGCCAAGGCTTCTATATATTATTTCATAAAATTTTACTTTTTTATGAAAATGGCATGTTTCATATTAAATTTAAACATTAAACAAAACTCCATTGTTATCAAATCACCCAGAGATGGCCAATGTTCTCTTTTTGGAATAGTTATCTTCAGATATTTTTTCCATCAAGAGACCTTTCTAAGCCTGTTTTTCAGGTTTGTAAAATGGAGATAATTCCTTTCCCTCAGGGCTGCTGTGAGGATTAAATGAGACACACGTGAGCATGCCTAACACTGACGGGCCACACTAGATGTTCCATAAACATTTGGGACATTCTTCCTTCACCTTTCTGCTAGTTATTTTAAAAAGAAAATCAACTTTGTCTACTTGTCCAGCTTTTAAGCATCCTTAATGGGGTTACCATCATTTCCAGCTGGTTTTTAAGCCTGCTAATGATAGAAGGGTACCCTTCTGATATGACATTCCTTTCTAGGGATGCTTCACTAATGTCCCCATTCAGCTAGGTACACAGCTAATGAGTAATGGAACCAAAATATACTAGATGCCTTTGAGTTGAGATGGCTGAAAAAGGAGGGGAGGTGATGGCTAGGGGTGGGATTTTTGTGGACAGTATTTACACTATTAGGTGCATCCTCAAACTGATGAATGAGGAAAGAGGTGACTGTGTAGAATGTTCACTAAGAAGAATGAAAGTGCCAAGCCCAGAGGAGGAAGTGACCTGGAAGGAAAGGATCCCATTATATTTCTAAAGGCTTGGAGACTGACTGCCCCACCACCCTTCCAGGACTATCTGAGATTGTGTCCTTGGAACTAAGGGGAAATTCAGCTTGCAGAGGGCACTCTTCTTGGTGTGAATTTATGTTTGGTAGCACACTAGATAGCTGCTATCATACCACCATTCAAATGACATTTATTCATGTAGCATTTAGAAAGAAAAGATTGACTCAAAAATGGAAGGCTATACTGCATCAGTGGAGCCAGCAGTTACTGCCCACTCATGAGATTCAGCCAGATTCCTGAAAACAGGTCAGCAAAAGGGCACTCCGTTTTTGCAAAGCTGCCAACCCCTGTAATAACACCTGTTAGCTTGAAAGCTCATCTTGCAGGTCCTCATTGACACTGGTATTCCCAGGAGAGGTCAAACACAGGGAACGTGGGTCCTATTTTAGATATCAGCTATTTAAGGCAAGTGGCAGAAAGTCCTTTAGATATGAATGGGCAGAAACAGGAAGAGAATTGAGAATTCCTGGTTCCAAGTTCAGACTCCACTGCCCTTTGAGGACAAGGGCTCCAGGAAGAAAGGACATTCTTGTCCCCATGGTTGTGGAAGAGGATTTAGAAGTTGGGGCTCCTGGCTGACCCATCAGTACCTATTCTTCCCTTTCAGTCTTCTGTCACAGCCTCCTAGGGCCCCATTCCCCATCCATCCTGACCAAGCGTATCAGCCCTCACGGTCTCAGAAAACGAAGGACAGACATGGGCACTAAGGAAAGAAATGGCAGAATAGAATCAAGGGGAAAGATGTCTTTCTGCTTTATACAAGGAAAGATGTCATTCTTCTTTATTTGCCCACCCCCTCTGCAGCATATGGCTAAGAGAGGTGAACTCCACTGGCTTTCTGAGGACACAACAGGAAGATAGCATACAAAAGCTCAGGGACTGGAGAAGCAGGCTGATTATTCATTCGGGGACAGAATGAAGAGTCAGAATGCTCCAACTTCAGATTCCACAGGCGGAGACAGAACTGAGGAGGTGAAAGCTGACCTGAGCCATGTGTGAGGGGTGTGGTTCCTATCCCAGTCTCTGTGCTCCTGTCCTCAGAAAGTGAAGAACATCAGGGAGAAGATGGGCTGGGCAAAGAGAGGATGAGAAAGGAGCTGGGAGAGCAGAGGACAGCAGTCCTTTTCCACTCAGGTCTGCATTTGTAAGGCCTGAGGTTGGAAGTCCAGGGCTTGGGGGGCAGAATGCTTCTGCTTGCTGTGGCTGAGACAAGAGCATGTCGGTGGGTCCAGGCCAGTTCGTGCAGGACCCAGTCATTACCTTCTCCCTCCCAGCAAACAATGACATGGCTTCTACCCCAGTGCCTGTTTGGGTCCCTTTGAGCCCTCCCTCTACCTCCAAGCAGCCTCTTCGTCCTTCACTGCCTTGCTCCCTTTGCCGTGGGCCAAGTGTGCTCCTGACACTTTGCCAATTACGTTCCCATAGAGCAGAAGGGGAGGTGCCCAGGGACAGGACCTAGTGAGCGTTACTGTGTTCCACTGTTCCCAGAGGAATGAACACAATAACTGAGAATGGGTAGGCAGGGTTGGGGAAGGAAGATGATGGTCTAGTCTTTATCAAGAGATTGAAATGCTCGTCTTGCTACCTCATCTCTCTATTCTTTGAAAAACACTGAATGTTAGGTTGTTGGTCATGGTAATGACCATGGGCGGGGGCGCTGTTCCTAATTTAAAGGAGGGACTTCCTATAAAAGTCCTGTCACTGGCTCAGCAGTTGTACACAGTTGCTGCTAAGCCCTTCCATTCTTGTTCTTGTCCTTGCCTTCCTCTTCTCCCTCTGTGCTGCCTGCTCCATACTACAATTGTAGGTTCAGGCAAGGGACACAGCTGTGGAAGAAGGGACAAGGAGTCAGGGAGACTCTCCCAAGGAATCAGCAATCATGAGCATACAGGGGGAGAGGACAGGAATCAAGGTTGAGAGCAGTGGTGAGCACCATATCACCCTCGAATCTTCTGGATGACCCGGGTAAGGGAGGAAGGGAAAGAGGCCAGAACAGCTTCGGGAAGCAGTTCTGCTCTAGGGCTGGGATTTAGGGAGACGTAGAGAGGAAGAGCTAGGAGACACCAAGAAAGATTTCCCCTGCCCTTCCCTCAGGCTCTGGGTATATCTGTGTGAGACTTGAGGTGGCGAGAAGGAACTGACTCCAACCCAAGGACTGCAGACACGTCAGAAGAACTTGAGTTTGGTAGTATGAGATCTCATTCCTGAGGGAGTTATCTCTTCAGGTAGGATCCATCTATCTGCCATCCCCAGGCCACCGTTAGGAAGGCCCTCAGATTCCCTAAAGGGACTTATTCTGATTTTTCTTCTTCACCTAATGCCCCATTCTACTGTAAGTGACAAGAGTATAAGGACCTCATTTTGGGGGTATTCCTCACGTTGGAGCCTGGTGCAGGATCTCACAAAGAGTAGAGTTAGTAGGGGCATGAGCTGTCCGTGGATTTTTTTGTGTGTGAAAAATACACCTAAAGGGATAAATCTAAACCCCTGCCAAGATTGGAAATTAACTGTCTTAACTCTGTCTGTATATTGTTTGCTTTTAAAATCTTTCTTAACAACAGGTAAGTGGGAATGTGAGCTGAGAGAAATACAGCAGCATGGGGGCGTCTATGTGGATTACACTATGCTTTGTCCAGCCCGCACTCCCACAGATCCTTACACAGACAGTGGGTAAAACCTTCCTGAAAATTCTCAAGAATGGAGAAATGTCTTCAGGCTCAGTGGACACAGGCCTACCCAGGACCAGGCCCCTAATGTCCTTGTACAAAGACCTTCCCCTCTCCCCTGCCACAGGAATCCAAAGCCTTTCCACCTGTTGTGCTGACAGGGGCCCCTCTTGGAGTGGGGCATACCCATGGGATAGATCATGTAAAAAAAAGTATGTATCTTCCATTCAATGGTCTTTGACAACCTGAGAAGCAAAGCTTCCTTATCTGGGGTCTATGGATGGTTTCAA